GGGCGAAAGGAGTGGGAGGTGGCCTGAGGCCGGGGGCGTGGCTACGTTGGCTTTGGGCTCCGGTGAGGGGCGGGGCCATGCGTCCGGGGGCGGGGTAAGTGGGGTCCTGGCTGCAGCTGGGTGGGCGGGGCCGCAGCTCAGTGAGCGAGGCTTCGCTCCCAGGGTCTGGGGTCGCCAACCCTGATTTCAGGGTTAAGTGTCTCCCTCGCGGTGCTGTCGCAGGGCCTTCGCAAATGATCTCGGTTGCTCCTCACAACCCAGGACTCGGTGCCTCGTTCTTGCCCATCGCTGCGTCCCCATAGCAGGTGTCTGGCACAGAGAAATAACGCCACCCCCACCCCCACCCCCCACTCCCCCGTCTACGTAGCGCTGGCCTCAGTCTGTAATTTTGCATGTGCTCGTTTTCGCTCCCTTGACCGCCCCGAGCGGCAGGTAGCGTGTCTGCTTTGCTCACCATGTGTCCCCAGCACCGTGCGCCCGGCGCACACTAGGGCGCGACCGCGGTTGCCAAGTGATTGGAGGAGTACCAGTAGGTGTGAAGATCGTGGAGAACACCAGCTGCCGTCTGTAAGGTCTGTTAGTCTGGCAACCGCTCCCAACTTCACAGGAAGGTGGCAGGTTAGGGGCCCATCCTAAGACTGGGGAGTGTGGGCTGCCAGTCTGGGATTTTGGTTTAGAGATTGTCCACGTTCCTCCAAGGTAAGAGGCAGCTTCACCCTGTAGTTTCTGCTGGAGGCGGGACCAAGTCCATCTTCAAATTCTCCAGACTCACCCGCCACCTCTTCTGAGCGTCCCCGCTCCCTTGTTTCTTGCCATTTCTTTGTTTTTAATTTTTTATTATGGAAAATTTCAAACACATGCAAAAATAGAGCAGTACAAGTAACCTTCATGGGCCCCCACCCAGCTTCCACGGTTCTCCACACATGGCCGGTTTTTCCCCAGTGCTCCCATCACATCATTTATCCCTAGGTTTTCCAATCTTTTTTTTTTTTTTTTTTTTTTTTTTTTTGTA